AGGAAAGGAAAGGAAAGGAAAGGAAAGGAAAGGAAAGGAAAGGAAAGAGAAAAGAAAAAATAAAAGAAAGGAAAAAAGAAAACCTGTCTCACACTGCCATATTATTAAATGCTTTATCTGTCATTTATCTGGCATTTTTTCCAATGTGGTTTCTAGCCTGAAAACCTTCAGCTAGACTATAACATTCTTGCAGCACGAATTTATATTAATCCTTTTATAAAACAGTCAGAAAATATTCTTCTTGTATTGTTTTTCCAAATACTCTCCTTTCACAGCCCCCCCCCCATTCTCTGTGTGTTACTGCTGCAAAGCACCTCCCATGTTGCATTCCATGTCACTGTCAGGGCTGCAGATGGTCACAGCCTGTTACCCACCTTGTACCAGAGAGCTGCTGAACCAAGCGTTTGACACCAGCAGCTCCAGCCTCCACAAAGAAAAGTGTCAGAAGAGGGTTACAGTTGGAGGTGAAGGAAAAAATCTGGCAGCCCTCTCATCTCCTACTTGCTTTTTTTCTCCCTTTCTTTACAAATCTCCACTGTGCCCTCACCTGACAGCACAAAGAGGGGGAACCTGGAATTGCCTGTGCCTTTCCTCACAAAATTGAACTTTTTCTGCACTCAAGCAGAAGCTTAAACAAAAGTGTTTCCCAAATACGTAATTATCTCCATTGCTTCTTAGTTTTTGACAGTAAGACCCAAAAAAACTCCTGGTGGCTTAACAGATGTATCAGTGCTAGTATGTGAGCCACCAGAATCCTGAAATACTCTTCGAAAGAACCGATGGCAGCTAAAGCATCCACCAGTGCTTCACATACACCACACTGAGCTCTAGGGCTGCCTGGCCCCGAGGCTTTCTGGTGCCAAACATCTCCACTTCATCCTTCTCACAGACCCTGTATGAGAGCTTCAGAGGTAAAGTCACTTCCCATTCCCAATCACTAAGCATCACAGATATGACAGTTCTCCAAGTCACAATAAACAAGTCCACCAGCTTAGAGCTGAGAAGGGTCTTTATACACACAGAGTAGGGGGAGTCCCACTAAATAGGGTGACTTCCAGGAACAACACAGAAATGTATAAATCTAGGTCAAGTTACAGAGAAAGTGAAAGTGGGCCTGGTCCTTAATGCAAGCAGGACACGTTACCTTGTCTGTGGTCATCACGTACAGATTTTCTTGGGTTTGGTCAAGGACCAGGTCCTTCTTTATGGGTTTATTTAGTTCAATAGTAAGAGAGCTGTACTCAGTTGCAGTGGATGACAGGAACACCTATTTCATGGAAGAAGGAAAGGTGGTTAATGTTGCTTCTTTTCACCCAAATATTATTATATCTGGCTACTGCAGTAAAAGACAATAAAAATGTTTTTGAAACCACACTAACAACAAAAGGAGGACTAAGCAGAATTTCCATACATTGTGGGGGGAAACATAGTGGAAAAAAAATGATGAAATGGCAGAGGTACTTAATGCTGCCTTTGCCTCAGTCTTTAAGACCAGTTGTTCTAAGGGTACCCAACTCCCTGAGCTGAAAGACAAGGATGGGGAGCAGAAAGAAGCACCGAAAATTCAAGGGGAATTGATCAGTGACCTGTTGCACCACTTTTACACACAAGAAGTCTCTGGGTACTGAGGGAGCTGGCAGAAGAGCTCCCTGAACCATTTTCCATCATTTACCAGCAGTCCTAGCTAACTGGGGAGGTCTCATTTGACTGGAGGTTGGGAAATGTGACACCCATCCACAAGAAGGGTCAGAAAGAGGATGCAGGGAACTACAGGCCTGTCAGCTTGATCTCGGTACCAGGGAAGGTCACAGAGCAGATAATTTTTAGTGCCATCATGTGGCATATGCAAGGCTACAAGGGGATCAGGCGCAGCCATAATGGGTTTATGAAAGGCAGGTCCAGCTTCACCAACCTGATCTCCTCCTGTGACTCACTTAGTGGATGAGTAAAGGGCTGTGGTTGTTGTCTACGTACACTTTACTAAAGTCTTTGACACTGTTTCCCACAGTTTTCTCCTGGAGAAACTGGCTGCTCATGGCTTCTACAGATACACTGTTTGCTGGGTAAAAAAACTGTCTGCATGGCTGGGCCATCCAGAGATAGTGGTGAATGGAGTTAAATCCAGCCGGCAGTTGGTCACTAGTGATGTTCCCCAGGACTCAGTATTGGGCCAGTCCTGTTTAATGTTTTTATTAATGATCTGGTTGAGGGAATTGAGTGCTCCTTCAGTCAGTTTGCAGGTGATACCAAGCTGATCTGCAGAAGGATAGGAAGGCTCTACAGAGGGACCTGGACAGGCCGGATTGATGGGCCAAGGCCAATTGTAGGAGATTCAACAAGGTGAAGTACTGGATCCTGCACATGGGTCACAACAACCCCATGGAGAGCTACAAGCTTGGGGTAGAGTGTCTGGAAAACTGCCTGGCAGAAAAGAAGCTGGGGGTGCTGGTAAACAGATGGCTTACCATGAACCAGCAGTGTGCCCAGGTGGCCAGGAAGGCCAACGGCATCCTAGTTTGTATCAGAAATAGTGTGGTCAGCAGGACTAAGGAAGTGATTGTACCCCTGTACTCAGCACTGGTGAGGTTGCACCTTGAGCACTGTGTCATGTTTTGGGCCCCTTACTGCAAGATAGACATTGAGGTGCTGCAGCATGTCCAGAGAAGGGCAAGGAACCTGGTTAAGGGTAAAGAGTACAAGTCTTATGAGGAGCAGCTGAGGGAGCTGGGTTTTCAGTCTGGAGAAAAACAGGCTGAGGGGAGACCTTATTGCTCTCTCCAATTACCTGAAAGGAGGTTGTAGTGAGGTGGGGGTTGGTCTCTTCTCACAAATAGCAAGCAATAGGGAAGGAGGAAATGACCTTGAGTTATGCTAGAGGAGGTTCAGATTGGATATTATGAAATATTTCTTCATAGAAAGGTTTGTCAAGTATTGAAACAGGTTGCCCAGGGTACTGGTTGTCACCATCCCTGGAGATATTTAAAAGATTTGTAGATGTGGCACTTAGGGACATAGAATCATAGAATCACTAAGGTTGGAAAAGACCTCCAAGATTGTCGAGTCCAATCACTAACCTAGCACCACCATGTTCACCACTAAACCATGTCTCTAAGCACCACACCCACATGCCTTCTGAATACTTCTGACATTGTTTGGTGGACTCGGCAGTGCTAGGTTTTGGTTGGACATGGCCATCTCTCTCCTTCAAGCAAAAGAAGGTGTTTAGTGTTGCAGTCTCGACATTTTAACACCATAAACATGTCAAATCTTGAGCACCACACAATCAGAATTTATCAGAGCTTCAGCCTGGGCTTTGTATTGCCACCTCTATTCA